AGAGAGAGAGAGAGAGAGAGAGCGCTCAATTGAGGGAGATGAATCCTCAAGGGTGTTGAGGGGGGCCTGTTGTGTCTGCGCTGATAGGGGTGTGTGTGTGGGGGGGGGTGAGGATAATGTAGGGTGCTCTTCATAACCTGCGTGTGATTGTGAAGATAGATGGAGCCATTTACAGCCTAATTTTTCATAGGATGCTGAGTTTCAGCAGCATCATTTGGCTTTGTTAGGGCCAGTGGGTACAAAGTGCCTCTCCTCTACACTAGAGCTAGGGGAAAATATCGGAGATTTTGAAGAATGGTCCCATTCTAACTTGGGTGACTCAGTCAACATCTTCAACTGTGTTTGCAAATTGACAAATAAAAACATTTGGTTGTTTCCATCCTTTCTAAACGTTTCGTTTCACCTTTGACCATTTAAACTCCTTTTTTCCCAATTGTAATTAGCTAAACTTTCAAAATAAAAAAGTCTTTTTGATGTTGAAAACTGGATTTTTTTTTAATGAAAATGTCAGACTGGGATTTGTTAAGAGTTTCTGAATTCCCCCCACCTTCCCCAAAATTCAGAAATTCATCAAAACTGTTCAGGTTTGATAAATCAATATGTTTTGATGGGAAAACAGTTTGCCAAAAAATTCCCATTCAGCTCTCTTTAGCACTTTGGGTGCTGATCCTTTTGAAAATCAGTCCCGCAAGAATGTGCAGAACAGATGAAAACTCTGGCCCCAGGTGCCCTGTAATGTTACTTTTTTTTCTTTCTTTGCAAAAAAATAAAAGGGGGGATTTTCAATCAAATGACAATAAACAGAATGTTCACAGACTGATAATCCAAGATTTATCTTTCTGTTTTCTTGGTCAATTTTGTAATCCTTTATGTACAGAATCACACCATCATCTTGTAAACACAAACAAAATTGCACACATGTTATCTGGCTCATCCAGTTACGACTGTACAATCAAGTATGCTTTTGTTTTTCTATAGCAAAATATCTACATGCAGTACAAATGTAAAAGCCAAAAAAGTATACATATAATATTTAAATAAGGGAATATATGATTAGTTAACTTTCCTTTCACAGCTTTGCTTACAAAACACAGACACTAAAGTTAACAAAAATCTATAATTACTATCTATTGTGTGTTTTTTCTCTTAATATTGTCTGCTTTTCATTAGAACATAGAAAATTATTTTTCTGGAAATAGTCACTCAAATCAAATATATATATATTTATTTCATCATCTTTTTTTTATTCATTAGCCTATAATCCCACCTTGCAAGGGTAGCAGATTTTACTAGCAATAATATATTTTGGAAACAGTAAATGTTAAATGAGCTTTAGAAAATGTCCGTGGGATGTGAATTTTAAACTTACGACGGGCACATGCTGGAAGTCTAATTCCAAGTAACTCATCCAGTTAGGGAATAGGAAAAATACCAAATGTCCAGTGAAAACAGAGCTCAGATTCTCAGTGCTTCTAACGATCTGTTGCCAAAGGATCTCTACATTTAAAATTATGTACGAAAAGCATCTAGAAAGTATCTTCAAATAATAAATGTATCCAAGGAAGCCAGGAACTGAGAGCAGATAGTTTGTGAACAGGAAGAGAAGTTTGTCTGATAAATACTTGCCGTTTAATTGCATTTACTAAACTGAACTATTGCATCGTCTTGATTAAAGACTCTGATACAAAATCTACTGGGCTTCAGGGCCAAGGCAGAGTTTGACTCTAATGCAAGAGGTGCTAGGTTCAAGCAACTTTTTTTTTTTTTTTTTTAGTTTCATAACTATGCCGCAAGCTCAGAGGTGCCGAGGTTCAGCCCTGGCACAAATTTCGGCACTGGAGCAGGCAGGGAGGAGAGAGTTCTCACTGCCCTTGAATCCTGAGTACGGGCAGGTGGGTGGACACAGTATCTGGACTTGAACAGGGTTCAGAAAAGAATTGGATAAATTCAGGAAGGTTAAGTCCATCAATGGCTGTTAGCCAGGATGAATAGGGATGGTGTCTCGCGCCTCTCTTTGTTAGAGGCTGGGAATGGATCACTGTATGTTTCCCTGTTCTGTTCATTCCTTCTAGGGGCACCTGGCATTGGCCACTGTCAGCAAACAGGATACTGGGCTAGATGGACCTTTGATCTGACCCCGTGTGGCTGTTCATATATTCTTATGTAAATCCATTAATGAATTATTATTGCGTTAGTACCCAGCATCCCTCCGTGCACTAGGAAATACGCACGCACACACACACCCTCTCAGGTGGGTGAAATTTGCATGAGAATGACATAGTCCAGGACTCGTTGGCCATAGACCATCCAGCGTCCTCTCCCCCCGCAAACACCACACTACTTACAAAGGAGCTGCCTTGGAGCATAACTCCCCTACTGTGGAGGAGGAATCACTCAGTGGTTTGAGCCCGGGCTTGCTGAACTCAGGGTTGTGAGTTCAGTCCTCAAAGTGGCCATTTAGGAATCTGGGGCAAAACCATCAGGGATGGTACTTAGTCCTGCTATGAAGGCAGGGGACTGGACTCAATGACCTCCCAAGGTCCCTTCCAGCTCAATGAGAGGTATATCTCCATATATTATTGTACTTACTGGCTACGTCTAGACTGCATCCCTTTTTTGTAAAAGGGATGCAAATTAGATGTATCGTAATTGCTAATGAAGCAAGGATTTAAATCTCCCCCACTTCATTAGCATAAAAATGGCTGCCGCTTTTTTTTCGGCACAGAGCTTTGCCGGAAAAAAGCGCCAGTCTAGATGCAGATCTTTCGGAAAATAAAGCCTTTTCCGAAAGATCCCTTATCCCTTATTTTAAGAGGGATCAGGGATCTTTCGGAAAAGGCTTTATTTTCCCAAAGATCCGCGTCTAGACTGGCGCTTTTTTCCGGCAAAGCTCCGTGCTGAAAAAAAGCGGCAGCCATTTTTATGCTAATGAAGCGGGGGAGATTTAAATCCCCGCTTCATTAGCAATTGCGATACGTCTAATTTGCATCCCTTTCATGAAAAAGGGATGCAGTCTAGACGTAGCAACTGGGATTTTACAGCCCACACTCTGTGGTGTGATCTCTCCCATTCAGTCTTTTGTGCAGCAGGCCCAGGCTCCGAATGGGTTTGGCTGATGTTGTCTTCAGGATACAATCGATTTGGACAGATCAGTCACCACGTCCACATAATATTCCTGCAAGTCTGTATCACAGCAATGCATAGGGTCCCAGTCATGGGTGGGATTGCAGTTATTCTAGGCTGGATATAGACAAGATATTTACAAGTTGTAATGCTATTAAGGAAAATTGCCCCCATTCCTTTCAAGGCAGGATTATGTCTTCTCCACTGAGCTGTTCTCAGGAGAAAAGGGCTAAGATCAAGACACATGCATAATTTGCTATCATGTTTTGAAATCTCCGCTTTCTGAGGCAAATAAAATGGACCTGATTCTGCTTTCATGGCACGTGCACTGGTTTTACTGGAGTCGGTAGAATGACACTCTCGTAAGTGAAATCAGAGTTTATCCCTAAAAACTCCTATAATGGGCAACTCTCCATTGAGATCACTGGTAAGGGAGCCCAGCAAGAATAAAGCAGCTTCCCCAAGCTATTGTGGTTGTCAGAGGGTCGTGGTTGCTTTCATGGCATATTGGTGATGACGTGGAGGGAAAGATAAATCACACACCTGTTTTAAGTGCTGTCTTGTGCCCTAGGCTGTGTCAGGCCACAACATGCAATGCTGTGCTTGGAACCTCACCTCTTAGTGACAGCAAATATGCCATGCCAGAGGGCTTGGCTGAGGAGATGCATGTGTCACGTCACCTGACATGCTTGGGATATATGATATTTTTGGCAGCTTCTGTCTATACTTAGGTAGCTATGTGATCTCATGGCTGTAATATCTTGGTGTAATGTCTGGGGTAATCAACTGTGGAATAGTCTTGTCTGTTGGGATCATGTCTTTCCACACGAACGTGCTTCAGAAAACTAATATTCCAGTTAGAAATAGGATCTGTTTGATTCTGCATTTGAAAACTAGAAGAAGGCATCTGCTGTTGGGTGAATAGGGCTATGCAGATGAGAGAGGTGAACAGAACTGGCCGTACATTTGTACTGGAGATAAATAGAATTGGTTGTACAGAGAAGAGTGAGGGGAGATTTGAGAGCAGCCTCCAGCTACCTGAAATGGGGTTCCAAAGAGGACGGAGAGAGGCTGTGCTCAGTGGTGACGGATGGCAGAACGAGGCGCAATGGTCTCAAGTTGCAGTGGGGGAGGTCTAGGTTGGAGATTAGGAAAAACTATTTCCCTAGGAGGGTGGTGAAGCCAGGGCTGGAACGAGCCCTTTTTGTGGCCTGGGCGCGCGGCGCTGCCCACAGGGCGCACAGCGCATGCGCAGGCCGGCCATGGCTGCCAGCGCACAGCCCAGGGCCTGCCCCCTGGGGCTCTCAGCACATGCGCTGCCCAGCCCGGCCCGGCCCGAGCTGCTGGCATGCACACCGGGCTGTGCAGGGCCCCGCAGCCATGGGGAGAAGGGCGCTGCTGGCTGGCGCTGCGGGAGCCAGGCGCATGGCACCGGATGGCAGCTATAAGGGATGCCGCACACCCCTTACAGCTGCCATCAGGAGCCCTCCATACGTTGGCGCCCTGGGCAGCTGCCCGGCTTGCCCATGCCTCAGTTCGGTCCTGGGTAAAGCACTGGAATGGGCTCCCTAGGGAGGGGGTGGAATCTCCATCCCTAGAGGTGTTTAAGTCCCAGTTTGACAAAGCCCTGGCTGGGATGATTGAGTTGGGTTTGGTCCTGCTTTGAGCCAGGAGTTGGACTCGATGCCACCCCATCTCTCAATCTACATTAATGGCACCTGTGTGTTGACTGACAGAAAATAGAATGGGTAAAATTATGCCTCCAGTGAACTCTTGGAAAAAAAATTAGAAGTGTGATAACTTCTTGGCTGAAATAATTTTCCTTTTAGGAGAGCAGTACCACCTCTTGCAATTCTGGTGCAGAGAAATACGAACCCTTTTCTTTCACCGTGTTTCTTTAATAATACAATACATTCCAGTAAACCCGTGTCCTTATTTAGCCATGGAAAAAAAATTTCTAAAGTAGCAACCAAAATGATCAATATAAGTATTCACAACATATTGAATGCCCTGATTGGAAATCTCTCTTCCTTCGCCGGGCAACAGTATTTCCAGATGTATTATTTGGGTAGTTTTTGTCACCTGCAAAGCACTTGAGATATATAGTGCTAGCTCCTTAGCTGTGTAAATGGTTCTCTCTCTATTGAAATCGGTATAATGAAGCTGCTGGACATCAGCTGAAGATCTGACCCAGGAACTAATGAATTAGGCCTCACACTTTCCTGAGAAATAGAGGGCAAATATCCAATTTATTTTGAGTGTGGGGAAGGGAAGCAGAGAGAGTGAAGGATTTGCTAAGGGTTAATGAGAAGGGAGTTAACATCAGAGATTTAAAGCTCATGAATTCTTGGCTCACAAACCTAAGCTCCGGCCATTAGACTACACGAGGGCTGGAACAATTTTTCTAGTGGGCGTGTCAAAAGCCTTTGAATTAAACTGTAAACCCTGTATGTCATGGACTCCACTTCAAGCCAAAGGGTGTGTCAGCACGGCAGCACCTCTTTGAGACAATGACCTTTCTCTCTCTCTTGGATAACGTTAGCTTTTATTTCCAGTTGCTATCCTGACTCAGATATTATGGTACCTGCCCTTTTTGGGGTGGGATTCAAGGGCAGGACAGGTTTTTTTTTAAATTTGTGATAAGTCTGAACCATGCAATTTGGAAAAAAAAAACCCATGATGCTTTTCATTTTTTCATTGAAAAAAATACACAAATGGAAAAAGTTGTGGGGGGAAGGAATGAAGATATATGCACCTGAACTTTACCACAGCAGATAAAATGGGGGCGGGGGAGCGAGTGGGAGTTAAATAAAATCTTTAGAAGAAAGTAAATGTGCAAAACCATGCACAGCCTGTGTTCCAAATTGTCTTAGGAAGGACACCTGGGTGGTTGGTTTGGCTCAGCTGATCTCTTGCATTCTGGAGAAGCACACATCTCTGTGAGGTGGGGGGTGAGAGCAGGGCTGTCTTTAGGATTTAGGGGGCCCTCTGTGGTACTAGTAAACCGGTGCCCCTATGCCCAGTGGCAGCCCTGGAGGCATGAGAAGATGTTTTAATTTTATAATTTTCAGCAATGCACTAATGAAATATTATTAAAGCAAATTTTAAACAGAGGTCCTGTCGACTCACAGGGTAACCTCAGATCAGTATATACCTGGGGCTGACTTGAATGGCTCTCTCAAAGGTTCAATGTCCTGCTAATAGGACTGGGGGGCTTTTTCACATTTAAGTTAACGAGATCCTCTCCCGAGGAAGCAAAGCCGCAGAACAGGGATAGAAAGTGACAGGTGGGTGGACATGAAGACCCATTAGTGCCCCAAATGTTCAGGTGCCCTATGCAACTACCCAGCTCTGGGTGAAAGAGAGGAAGGGGTGTATTTCGAAACATCCATGTGAAATAAATAAAGGCAGCAGTAGCTTAGTCCCCAGGGATCCGAGCATGAAAGCGCCAGAACCCCTTCTAACCCAGCATCTTCTAAAACACACAGTCTCCCTAGGGAGGCACAGCACCCAGCCATGGTAGTGACAGAAGATGGAATGGGATTGAGCAAGAACTTCTGATCCCCTTCCGCCCTGGAGCTCTCCCTCAGGGTTCGGCATCTTCCAGGTGGTCCGTTTGAAGGGAGACCTTTACCAAGCCCGGATCCCTGCTTGCAGCGTGGCTTGCAAGTGACCCTGCTGGTTATGTGCAGCGCCGGACACACTAAAGCTCATGTTCATGATGTGACCGGCTGGTGTGGCACTGGCGGGCACCGAGGGTCCCCCGGAGTAACTGCAGCTGTAGTTTGCATTGTAGGGGCTATTGCTGTAGCCGCGGTAGTAGGTATTATAGGAGTAAGGGCCGACGGTGACATTATAAGGGGCGGTGTAGCCCTGGGAGCCCCCTAGACACGGCTTGCCATCTCTGACTAGCACAGGTACCGCCACTCTCCTGGGAGGAAGGGGGTGGGCAGAGAGCTCCAGGGATTTATCCTGTCTTTGCCTCTTGCACTTGTATCTCCTGTTCTGGAACCAGATCTTGACTTGAGTGGAGGTGAGCTTCAACAGGCTGGCCAGGTGCTCCCGCTCCGGAGCCGAGAGGTATTTCTGCTGCTTAAATCGCCTCTCCAGCTCGAAAACTTGAGCTTGGGAAAACAAAACCCGGGGCTTCCTTCTCTGTCTTTGCTTGGGGTGCTGGCAAGGATCGGTTTTCTCCTCCTCGGTCTGGCAAGAATCTGCAGTCAAAGATTTCCCTGTGAAATGCAAAGTGAGGTGTGAGATTTTTTTTTTTTTTTTGTTCCACACCTGCCCCAAAAGGGTTAAATGTGTTTGGGGTGTTGTCCAGGGCCTACTCCTGGGCGGCTGTGTAATTAGATTCACGATTATTAAGCCATTCGGGGAGGAAAGGGAATTGAATGTGAACATTTTTGGCAAATAACGAGTAGTCCTGTGGCACCTTGGGGTACATCTACACTACAGGATAGGGCCAAATTAAGATACGCAACTTCGGCTATGTTAATTGCATAGCTGAAGTTGAAGTACCTTAACTCGACTTTTGGCACTGTCCACACTGCGGGAAGTCGAAAGGAGAACACTTTCCCTTCGACTTCCCTTACTCCTCATGGAAGCAGGACTGCCGGCATCAACTGGAGCACCCCTCTCAGTTCGAATTAGTGTGTCTTCACTAGACCCACTAAATCGAACCCTGGAAAATCGACCGCAGCAGCTTCGATCTTCTCTGTAGTGTAGACATAATCTGAGGAAGTAGGGAGGCAAATGAAGCATACCGAAGTTGCAAATCAAGCCCGGGATTTAAATATCCCGCTCTTGATTTGCATGTTCCCGGCCGGTCGCCATTTTAGAAATTGACTAGCCTGAAGTAATTGCCCATGCGGCAGTAATCTACATGCGGCAGTGAAATGGGATTCTGAATTAAAGCCCTAAATCAAATTAGCTGTTATTCCTCCTGCAATGAGGTTTACCAGCTAATTCAATTTAGGGCTATAATTCGGAATCCTGTTTCACTGCCACGGTTAGACGCAGGCAGTTCCTTCGGGCTAGTCAATTTCTAAAATGGCGACCGGCCGCGAACATGCTAATGAAGCATGGGATATTTAAATCCCGTGCTTCATTTGCAATTTCAGTCGCCCTCATTAGCCTCCCTAGATCGAACTAGGGGGCTAGTGTAGACATACCCTTAGAGACTAACAAAAGCTCATGAGTCTATATACTTTTGTGGGTAAAACCCACTTCATTTTACCCACAAAAATCTCATGCTACTATATATTTTTGTTAGTTTCTAAACCCTGGTCTATTCTACTCTAAATTCATTTGCAATTTCAGTCGCCCTCATTAGCCTCCCTAGATCGAACTAGGGGGCTAGTGTAGACATACCCTTAGAGACTAACAAAAGCTCATGAGTCTATATACTTTTGTGGGTAAAACCCACTTCATTTTACCCACAAAAATCTCATGCTACTATATATTTTTGTTAGTTTCTAAACCCTGGTCTATTCTACTCTAAACCCTACACTAGGGAGTTATTTTGAAATAACTTCCCTTACTTGGAAATAAGAGGGGCTTCCACACTACCAACTCTGTTATTTTGAAAGAAGGGGATGGTTATTTTGAAATAACTCCTGATTTCCATGAGGAATAACTCTAATTTTGAAATAGTTATTTCAAAATAGCGGCAGTGTGGATGCACCAGTGCCGCTATTTGGAAATAACGACTCCCCAGAGTAATTAAACTAATTATCGGGGTGGCCCATGAGCCTAGGCAAGCTAGGCAGCTACCTAGGGCGCCGCTGGCTTGGGCACCCGATGATGACGTCATGGCCATTGGTGGCCGTTCAGGCAAGGACGCTGATTGTGCCACTCCGCCTAAGGTGCCAGCTGCTGCAGCCGGCCTCGGGCCGCTCCTGGTAATTACTCCCCAGTGCTCCCTGGGACTCTAAGTCGAGGTAGCGTGTCCACGTTAATGGAGCCTGCCTCAGACTAATTTCAAGGCATCCCCATAGTGTGGACGTGCTCTTTTGAAATTATTTTTTCAGGAGTTATTATTTTGAAATAATAATTTCTTAGTGTAGACATGCACTTAGATGCCACAGAACTACTCATTGGCTGCTTCTACATTGCCCTCTCTTGTGCAAAAAAATGCAAATGAGGCAAAGCGTGGAATATCTCTGCACCTCATTTGCATAATTAATGAGACCCTGTTTTGGTTCAAGAGGCTTTTGCACAAAAAAGAGCCATCTACGCGGCTCCTTTTTGCGCAAAAACCCCCTCTTGTGCAAGAGCCATTCTTCCAGAAAAAAAGCAGAAGAATGGCTCTTGCACAAGAGGGGGTTTTGCACAAAATTGGAACCTCATTAATTATGCAAATGAGGTACGGTGATATTCCACGCTTCGCCTCATTTGCATTTTTTTTGCGCAAGAGAGGGCAATGTAGACGTAGCCATTGTTCTTAAAGTTTCAGACTAACAGGGCTACTACGCCTCTGAGAATTTTTGACAAAAATTGTCCCAGTTTTCTGCCAACAATCGAAATGTTGTTTTCATAGAAAAGACAAAAATAGTCTTTCATCTACCGGTTCTGACCATTTCTCTCTGGCCCAAAGTGATTAAAATCAAAAGACCTGCTCCAAAACTCATTAAATCTAGGGGAGTCTTTCCCTGGTCTCAAGAGACTTTGCCTCGGATCTACAAAGATTGGGGATGCTGCCCTTCATCACCACTATATCATGTATGTCTATTTCTTTGGACCCAAATCCTTTCTTCTCTTTTTTAATTACATAAACAATCAATTTCACTGAGATTGACCAGCAAGGATCTCTTTGGGGTTTTGTATTTTATTATATATAGTTTTAAAAATTTTGGAAGTCACCTTGAATATTTTAAATGGGGGGGGGGAAATATTTTAAATAAATAATAAATCAATAAAACAACTGCCGATGTATTGAAATCAGGAGGATTCCTAGCAAATAACCATAACTCTTCTTATTCATTGCTGTCTATTAGGCTATGTCTACACGGCAGTGTTATTTTGGAATACTTTCTGTTATTCTGAAATAGCAAAATGTGAGTCTACACTGCAAGCCATTATTTTAAAATAATGGTGAGCTGGGGCATTTCTTATTCTGATTCCTGTAGCTCTCATTTTACAAGGAGTAAGGGAAGTTGAAGGAAGAGTGTTCTTCCTTTGACTTCCTGCCGTGTAGACACCATCAAAAGCCAAATTAAACTATTTCAACTCAAACTATGCAATTGACAAAGCTCAAATTGTGTAGCTTAATTCTACTTTTATCCTGCTGTGTAGATGTGCTCTTAGGGTATGTCTACACAGTAGCGTGTACCTCAAAATAAACTATGAAATTTGTGCTGCATAATACAAATTACATAGCTCAAATTGCGTAGCATATTTCAAAATAGTTTATTTTAAAATGTGGCGCTGTCTACACAGTGCTAATTTTGAAATAAATTGCTATTCTGGTGTTTTCTTTAATTCTCATGCAATGAGGTTTACAGGAAGCCAGAATAAGAAGCCCATTATTTTGAATGTATTTCAAAATAACAGGCATGCTATTAAGATGCGCAGAATGCTATTTTGGGATAACGGATGTTATCCCAACATAATCCTGCTGTGTAGACAGTGCCTTTTTAAAATAAACTATTAGCTTATTTTGAAATTGGGGGTATCCACACAGCCCTTATTTCGAAATAGAGCACTCTTCTTCCGACTTCCCTTACTCCTTGTACCAAGAAGGTTACAGGAGTCAGAGTAAGAAGTCCTCCAGCTTGACAGTATTTCGACATTATTTCGAAATAACGGCCTGCTGTGTAGGGCTACATGGAGACTGCAAGCCTCTTTCGAAAGAAGCTTTTTCGAAAGATACTTTTGAAAAAGACTCTTTCGAAAAAGAGCGTCTCGATTACAACCAGTACTTTTGAAAAAGCAAGCTGCTTTTCCGAAAGAGAGCACCCAGGCAGTCTGGATGCTCTTTCGAAAAAGCACAATTTGCACTACATAGCACGTTTTTTTGAAAGAGCACTTTCGAAGAAGGCATTATTCCTCATAAAACAAGGTTTTCTGTGATCGAAAAAAATGCCACATTCTTTCGATTTACTTTCGAAAGAACATGGCAGCAATCTAGATGCAGGGGAATTTTTTTCGAAAAAAGACCAGTTTTCGAAAACCCCTGGTAGTCCAGACACACCCTAGATGCGGATCAAGTTATTTCAAAAGAATGTTGGGGTGTAGTTGAAGCTTCAACTACCCCAGACTAACACGGCTACATTTCTATCACTATTCTACATGTTGGGGTGTAGACGTACTTACAGACTATTTTTGATTAATTCGATGCAAGAAAGGTGAAGCAAGATTGAAAGGAAGGAGCGAGATAATACACAGCACCAAAGCTTTGTTGTAAAAGATCCGCTCCGCTAGAAACCTACTTGATTGTGCGGCACCTGTTTGGTTGTAAGTTCAATGTAGCCACAGTTCTAGGGTGAAGCTTGTCTGCATTGTCAGCCGGGGCCCTATTCAGTCCGCCCTACCCCTCTCCTAGTCATTTCCAAATCTACACGTCCGACCTTGCAAGCGCCTACTCGCAGGAGTAACCCTTACTCCACGGAGTAACTCGCTTGACTGGAAGCGGGACTGTCTGCTTCAGCGTGGCAGAATCCGCCTGCAACTTGCCTGATAGTTCCCCTCAAACGGGGTTGAACAGCTGTCGCGAGTTGTGTGTACAAACCACTGTAAACAACAATTGCAAAATGCCAGCCGTTTCGCGAGGATGATGGTGAAATGGAAATGGCCGATCGTGTGTCCTTTTTTGCCTTTGTTCGTCCAAAATTTGGTTCCCCAGGTCCCAGTGTTGCTAGTTCGAACTGAATTGTTGCAACCTTCCTGCTCCTTCCTCTTAGATTTTAAAAGAAAATCGAGGTTAAAACAAGCACGAGATGAACCTTATCGACTCTCTAATTCAGCCGAGGAGTTAGGGAAGCCACTAACCTTCCTTTGTGTTTGTGGCACTACGTAGGAAGTGTTGTTTTGCATAGCACAGTTCAAACAAACAAACAACAACCAAAAAGGTGTATCGAAAATGCTGGCGGTTCGGCTAAGGTTTCCTAAACCCGCATATAAAATATCCTTGCTTGTAAACAAGCATCTGAGAGGGATTCAATTAAGCAGTAAAAAAAAGTGTAGCCTGAAGATTTCCACAACGTCGAATCAATATTTAACGTGGTGTACTGTGATGTATGCTGTTAATGCAATCCTGCACGAACGAGATTTATTTTAGTTTAATTATTAAATAAATATCGACTTGGCATTGACAATAACCACGTATTTTGGATTATTTATTTTTAATCACAAACGTACACACGTTCAATGATCATCCAGTCAATTACATTTCGTGTAATTGAGAAAGCTGGAATCTTTCTGTTATTTGAAAAGAAAATGTGTGCGTACATATATTCAAACACTTGATTTGTATTTTATGTTCACTATTCAAACGTTTCGTTGTATTAAACCAATGTGTAAATATATTACACAAGGTATAGAAAGCGTTTGAAGATATGTACAAGTACACATTTCATTCTCGTTGTACATAGTGAAATAATATAAAACATGAAATATAAAACTATTGCACGTTTTAAAATATTTTCAGCTTATAGAAATATTTCTCCTAAGATGCTTAACAAAGCTAACTTAAAGCTGGACGCTTGAATTACTACATGCGATGTTATATTTGTTTTATTTCCGTAACAAGGAATAACTTTATCAAATACAAAAACTGGGTTTTTTTTTTCCTCCACGGTTTGACACTATAGCACAGGGAATTTTATAATAACTAGTGATGACTCCGTTTTATGAACTTGTTACTTTTATGTCTGGTTTTATTTTTGGAAATATTTAAGTAAAAAGGCGCCTTCATAAAACATCAGTTGGAAGAAAAATATATTTTGAACGGTGTCCATTTTATTGGTAAAATTAAAACAATACACGAGGGTTATATTTTTAATATCAACTTTGCTCGTGCGCTCAAACGGGAACTACTTTGACATCGGTTTTTTCCCCCACAAAAGCAACAATATTTTATATCTTTCGCGGTAGCAATTTTGCAACGGTCTTCCATGAGGCTGCGAAGTATTTGGTTTCTCTTCTATACTTTACTTTAGACGACACACTTAAAATCGATTGTCCATTACTGTACTTTAATTCTGTACATACCCGGGGCTCTATTTCTGACGCTGGTTTACGGGTTAGCCCTCCTTGTAAAACACCATCGGTGACTCGGAAGAGACTAAAATCCAGTTACATTTTGCTGAGACTAGTTACGCAGAAGTTCGCACAATTACATTTGCAATAAGGCTTGGTTCCTATCTGCTCACACGTACACCGCGCTGTACACTTCTCTCCAATGAATCAATAGGTGTGTTCCAAACAGCAACTCCTCCAAAGTTTTACCCGGCCATGATACACAACCCCACACGGCAACTTAAGGGAAACCAATTATTTCATTGCAACGGGTCTAAACACGCTCTGGTAACGCAGATTGTTACTCCCGGCGTTTCCTGAACCAATTTTAATGCTGGAGTCTTGCAATGCGCCAGTATAAAGGCTTCCTAAGATTGAACTTGGACTGTCCTTTCAGCTCACACCCTGTGTGCTCGCCAATAATAAACACCTGGAAGTGGCCTCGTCTCCTCGGGGGAATATTTTGGCGAGGTAGCTACTCTGAAGTTAAATCCCAAATCTGTGCGCCTCTTTATGGACTTCAGCCTGGCCATATTGGGCCGGACCGTCTGACCCAGCCATACCCTGCCTTGGGACAGAAGGAACAGAGCAGGTGAATGCCCCGGTCCCAACTCGGGGCAGTCAGTTTTAGGGGCGTCTCTCCCGGGTGCGTCTCTGACTCTCCTGGCTAAGCGCCGTGGCTGGACCTCTCCCCAAAGCCCCTGGCGCCAGGGGGGGACCCTGTTGAGTTTCCTTGGCTCCTGGTCAGTCCCCGCGTTTACCAGCTGGTGGGCTCCCCCTGTCCCCCCACTGTTTAACTTACTTAGCCCCATGTCTTCCTCGCGGGAGCTCCTGCGGAGCGCGTCCGCCGCCTCCCTGCGCTTCGCGCGTTGCTCCGCTTCCCCCTGGAAGGGAAGGTCCCCCGGAGCGAAGCGCTGCGGGTGCAGGCAGGCCGGGGGTGGCCGGCGGGCGGGCGGGAGGAATCCCGGTGGGCTCCCCCTGTCCCCCCACTGTTTAACTTACTTAGCCCCATGTCTTCCTCGCGGGAGCTCCTGCGGAGCGCGTCCGCCGCCTCCCTGCGCTTCGCGCGTTGCTCCGCTTCCCCCTGGAAGGGAAGGTCCCCCGGAGCGAAGCGCTGCGGGTGCAGGCAGGCCGGGGGTGGCCGGCGGGCGGGCGGGAGGAATCCCGGGGCGGCCCCGCTCGCCGCGCCCTGCTGCTCCAGCTGTAGGATGTCTTTGACCGAGAAGGGGGTGGAGGTGAGAGGGCTGGGCAGCATGCTGGGGAGGGAGGGGGGATCCCCCTCCACGGTGGCCAAGCCTGGTC